AAACAATCCACAAACAGTCCTGTAGTTCAGTGCGAAATTACCTGTAAACCACGTCTATTATCAATATGAGACCTGTTATCACAGCCTCATGCTGAAATGCACTGCAAGACCGCAGTCTAAACCCTTTGGACACTTTATGTGTGACATTATGTTGCTTAAAATCACTAACAGGTTTAAATGAATTAAGCTTAAAGCAGTTTTAACTTCACAGCTCATCAGTCATGGGGATACTGTAGGCAACATCTGACGATATCAATTCCAACAGATCATAGCAAGTTTAAACAGGTTCTTTGCTTTACCATGTTTGAAATGTTTTCTGTTTTCTTGCTAAACATTACAAAACAGTAACAGCTGTTTGTACATATTCAGGCAAACATTACCAAACACATGGCCTAAATTCTACCACAGTTTTGAAGTGAATTAAATACAGTGTTATTTGTTCTTTATCATGTTGGATGCTTATCATGTGTGTCAAATTGTTTATGTTAAATTGTCTCTCTGCACAGATGGATGGACAAATTGCCTCACATAATGCCTGTGTGCAACTAGTCAAGACCAAAACCAATGTGCAAACAGGCCTTGTTAATAATGGGCTAAGCATCCCACATATTTGCCTCATTCATTGATGACGACATTCTTAGGTGACTGCTCTCTCATTCCTTTTAACTGCCCTCTGAACTTATGCATGTCAATACTTTTAACTTGGAGAAACAGCCATGTTTTCCTGATCAGCCCAATCCCCAACACACACAAACACAAGCCCATGGGAATGTCACAAGACACTCTATAGATCACATTTCACCTGCAAATGCATAAAGCAAGGAGGAATGTAAATTGGTCTAAACATACTGTTTACAGGAAAAGCTTCAAATATCTAATTTCCTCAAAACATACACAACTTTACTAACATGCTAACTTTATTACACTTTAAACTTTAAATAGTTATTAAAAACCTCATTAAAAATACTAGACTTTTAGTAATCTTAAACTAACAAACTAAAAATTGTATAATTGCTATGCTACCTTTGCAGTTTGCAGATATTTAACTTATTTTGTAGACATCTACCATTACAAATTAGTCACATTTTAGTTGAATGTGAGCTGTGCAAGCCATTCACCAAGAAAATCAAAAATAAAGAAAAACTTATGAAATTGACAAAAAAACCAAACTCATTATTCCTGTCCACCCAGTTTAATCCACATGGAAACAATCTGATGAGAAAGACTCTACATGACGTATGCAAACCCTCAGTAATACTGGTGTTCAAAGTGCTTTGATTTGTTTGTTACCCTTCCTGTGTTTGGCTCCTAATAAGAGCATTATGGAACTGTCTGGTTTCGGTGTTCTTGGTCAAGAACATGGTCCTGTTCAATAATACTTCTCACATCCTGATTTCATGATGATTTTGTTGGCAAGCCAACCAAATGTAACCTATATTTTTAATGCCATTTGGTCACTGCAGCATGACATTTCAAAGGACCAAAGGGTCAGTTTCAGCCCATGTTAGTCTAAGGCGGATATTTCACAAAGCAAGTTTTCTCAACCAGCCGGATATGAAAAGACAGAAGTGAATGCTGTTTAGGACTTCAGCTCAAGTTATCCAGCTGAACAGGGAAACCTTGCTTTGTGAAATATCCCTTGGACTCAAAAATATCAGACACAGACTTGGAAGCTACAACAACATAAGACACAATGTGACTTGTACTTTTTCACAAAATTTTGGAGGGGGAAACGTATATGACATTTGTAAGTCTACCAAAATTACTAATTCAGAAGATGAAAAAGAGGGCTGCGGTCTAATGCCATCAAAATGAGACTAAAAGAGCTAAAAGAGGTTGAAAATAAGAAAAGTGTGATTGAGGAAGTCTGGCATTAAAGGTCAGGCAGGATTCAAGCCCGGCTCCTTTCTGAAAGTGAAAGACTGCATTGCAGAGGAAGGCAGCTGGGGGTGGTAGGCAGGTCTTGATAAGAGCTCTTCTCTGGTTTGAGCATGACGCTGATAGAGTCTGTCTCACTGTAACCTCTCACTGGCTGCCTATAACACACAGTCACGCCACTGTCGGCTTCTGCACGTGTGGAGGTTTAAGTGATGTAGGTCCAGCAATATGGCTAGGATTGCACCGAAGCCTGAAACCGCTGGTCTACACTATTAACTCTTTTGATGTCAAAGCATGAAACAAGCAATATATACATGGCATTACAATGACAAACTGAGTTATTATTCATATTTAGGGCTGTCACTACCGACTACATTGGCAATTGAGTAATCTAAAGATTTTTCTGACAGCTGAGTAATCAGTAATCAGAGATCAAACAATAAAAAAAACAAACAATAAAAGTCCATGCACAACCCATGAAAGAGTCCAAAACAACTTTTGGGAAAAACTATTAAAATATATATAAACATGCTGAGGCAAAAAAAAATGCATGTAAATGGGTTCTGTTTATTACTGAATTATCATCTTTTAACCTGCCAATTAATCATGGCCAAATCATCAAGAACGTACATTCTAATCAAGTTCAATCAAGCAATGGTGACAGTCCTACTAATACATTGTGAAACACCCAACTTATATTCATGATGTGAAGCTCTCTCAGTCGTATTTTAAGCACACTACATGACATATCCCTGTGCTACAAAAGATTATTATGCAACATGGTAGTTAAATGACAGAGACAAAGAAAATTTCATTCCTTTTACTGTCAATTACAATTAACCTAATCTTCCAAATGCAGTTTCTTCAGACGCAAATATGAGAAAACACAAATGCCCAGTGGCTCAAAACGTAGACCGTAACTGAATTGTCATGTGTGTAATTAACAAATTAAACACTGTTACGTTATCCTTCTGCTTTCAAGGAGAACAACAAACTTGCCTGTTCATGTGTTCTGACCAGTCCCTGGTCCAGTTATCTGGTTTGTTTTACAGCACAGGGACGCAAGCATAGAGCTTCTGGCAAACACGACTCTCAGTGGAAAAAACATGGACAAGGTCAGGACACAGCGAGTGGCCCTGCACCACCCACAACAGGATAAAAAAAAACAAAAAAAAACACAGCAAATCAATAACTCATTGCTGCAACAGGAGTGTTTACCAAAAAGCTTCCTAAATTTAGACAATTCAAGAAACAATTTGTGATCCACAGCTCTACGGTAACTAAAGGTCCTCAAGCTGTCCACTTACAGCAGAACGCATATCTCCTACAACACTAAGATTGTTGATGTTCTTCTAGACATTATTATGAAACAAAACTGAAAATAACTACAATTGAAAAAGCAATTTAAAGCTAAAATTGGACAATGTTTAGAGTTGCAACCAGCCGCATGTGTCCAAGTCATGTGTGGGATTTCAAATCTGCTAAACCCCCAGATGACCGTATAACTAATGGCAAAGGTAAGGACAAGTTTCTTACACTACTTCAGGCACCACTTAAACTCGAATTAAAACAAGAGCAACACGTCATGATAACCCTTGCCAGGCTACATTTCAATGTCATTATGACAGTTTACAGTTAGGTGTGACCAGTGAGTTTTTAGGCAATTACAAATGAACCATGAAGAAAAGCACAATCATCTTTTAAATATGTGTAAAAGGGGTGCTGCCTAGGCCTTCAGTACATTAAAGGAGGATTCTTTATCAAAATCAGGTGCCACTTAAGGATAAATTCCTCTAAAACCTATCGGTGCCAGGTGCCAGATCCTTCCTCGGAGGGATCTTGACAGGTGACCTTGCAACCTCAATGAATTAAGCTGCTTTGCCTTTAACTACACAATATTAGAGCACGGCCAAGGTACATTGGATCAGTGGGCCATGTCCATGCCTTACAGGACCAACAACAACTACGTGGAACTAGCGTACACCTTTCCTCTTTTTATTACCCATGTTCTACAGAACTACAAATTATGTGTCTGGGTGCTACAACGCATTCTAAACTACCCCTAAAATGATCTATAATCGGCCTGAAATACTAAAAAGGCATTAAACTATGTAATGAGAGTAAATTTCTACACTCCCTGAAGTCAAAAAGAAGACCAGATATTTTCAAAAGAGTTATGTAAGGTGGTCGAGTGAGGTTCCATTCCCAAAGACAAGTCAAGATCTGCTTAAGCGATGGAATATGCTGATTTTAGATATGATGTCAGTACAATGTTAAGCTTCTTAATATATGTCTCTTTTTATGTTTTAATTGCTTTCTAACATCACATGAACTACTTAACCACACCTGAAATGTTACTCATGTACAAAGCCTTTGTTTTCTGCCTGGTATCTTGCAGTGTCCAGCAAGGCATGCTGCCGGTGATGCCATGACGATAGGACAACTGAATAACAGACCTGAGACAGTCAGGATGAACAGGGACCACAACAATCTTGTGTCATCCAAAAGAACTAATACAGATTGTCACTATGCTGAAAGATCCAACTTCCAATCCATGATCCAGCCATGTCATGTCAGACAACAAAGAGGGAACATGACCACAAACTCTACGTGTATTATTAAGCGCAAGGTTTTGTGCAGGTTCTGTGCAACACTATCTATATTACCATTACAGGTTACATGAGTATACTAATACTGAAAGGATGAAATAACACCTTTTTAAAATGTATCTCCATGCCCCTCTGCTATTGCTGGCATATTTACCAACAAAAACTAAAAACAGCAACATATGAAGTTATACATATATATACACTCACAAAATGCTCTGGATGTAGTTACTCCAACTACAGTAGCTACATTTCGTAAGTAGCTACAGAAGCAGCTCGTATCTGATAAAACAGCTCAAGATACTGTTATATCAGGGCTTGTGCACAATCTGTGTTAGCATTTCACTTTAAGTAAGTTAACGTTTAAAAAGTAGTAAGAGCACTCAGTGTGCTTTAGCAAACCTTACACACTAACTTAGAAGCTAGCAAACTGCAAGCTAGCCAACCAGTTAGCCAGCTAAGTTAGCGAGAAGCGCTAGCTAGCTTGCTCACGTGCAACAACATTCATTTACCCACCTGTCTAAAATCTGTTGCATTACAACGGCACTCTCGTCTGTCATGTCGCTTTATGTGCTCAGACGTCCAAATGCACAGGTGAATCGCTGGATTTCTAAAAACGTCAGCTGAACAAACGTTACACAGCAGCTGAAGCTAGAAAGGCCTTAACGAGGACGAGAAGACACCGAAACGAACCCTCGCTGCACACTTAGCCAGCTACATCCACGGTATGTAATAACCTTATTACACTACAAATATGCCTTACTGATTAAACTTCTGCTGCACATAACTAAAACTTTATTCGTTATTAATAGTTTCGTGTCGTGACCGCTTGACTCCATTTACTGCTCTTTGACTGAGACGTAACGCAGAGACGCGCACTGCGTCACCGGCAACAATAAAAACGACGCACGTAGTGCAAAGTATTCTGGGACATGTAGTTTCAGTTCTTATTACTCTCCTTCATATAAGCTAGGCTAGCCAAAATAATATCAAATTTATGCTCTAACTCCAGCAGGCGGTTCCAGCCGAGAGACACTAAACCTCCTTTGGAAACAGAGGAAAGTAAAATGAAGATACACATATGGCTGCAAAACACTTCGTATTGCGGTAAGACATTTAACATCTTTTAAGGCTCAGAGAGTGAGAAAAAGAAGTACTTCGGGATTTCTAAGGAGACCGGCGTCTGTGTGAAGCGTGAACTAACAGATACTTATGAAAAAAATAATTAATGAGTCACAGTTGAGTTTCATTTCCATAGCTTTCACCAGTGGGGACTTTTTCAACTTTGGCATGTTTATTTAGGCTACGATTGTTTGCCTGTAATATGTTCTTTTTTGTCTTTTTGAGCCTCTGTCATTTTAATCAAATAATAGGCAGGAGACAAACAGCATATGTACAACGGCAGGTTCATATTGACATGACATGGCATGTCGTCATACTGCTTTAGAGTGTTACAGTGTCCTGTATTATGATGCAGTCCTATTTCTACGGCGTTGATATTGAGCCTTCAGCGTCTTTCTGAACGAGTCGCTTATTTTATCCTCTAAAAACTACTCGGTTCCTGTCTCGGCTGGAAGTTGCGCGAAAAAAAACTACATTTCCCTTAAGCCTCCCCTACATCATCCATGCGCCGCAGTCAATCAGCTGTTGAGGCAACTGCTGACTCTTACCTCGGTTATAGAAGGGGAGCTCATTTGTCATATCAATTCCGAGACGAAGCAAACTGAAAAGATAGCTTTTATTTACAGAATCCCAAAAAGGTGAACGATAAGGTAAAGTCGGTTTCATGTAGTCTACGGCAGTACAAATGTGCATGTTGTGGCATATGTGTTGTGATTTCGCTAGGCTATATCGGTGCAGTGGAGGATTAGTGTGTGTGGGGAGGGGGTGCATGATTTCCCCCCCTCTTGCTATAGCCCCCACATATGTGTATGTGTTTTAGGCAACATATCGTGATGTAGTAGCTTTGACGCATAGGCCCATGTACTTTTATGGGACAGAGAGTGTGTTGATCTGTGTGGTTTGCTTTGACAGATTGCCCCCCTGTATTGATCACTTTGTTGACCTTGAATAGGCAGCTCATATACAGCAACACGGAAAATACGAGGATAAACTGCGACTAAATGCTCTGTAGACGTCTTGTGTTTTTTTAACCCTGACATAAATCGTTTCGTGCGCCTTAGATATGTGCTAGGCTATATTAAGCACGATGAGCTTGCAGGGAGTGTTCACTCAACTGCAGCCTGCATCTCTCAGGCTATTTAAGCTAAAATTGTCGCATAGCGGATTTGGCCTGGGCTTTTCTACAGACGGAGACTTTTATTTTTTTATTTCAGTCATTGTTCAGAGTATGTCGTCGACGAGAATCACACACGAGTCTAATCTACAGACTCGTAGATATTTTTAGATACTTCTTCATGTTTGTTTTGACAACCTTTTGCTGCAGTGCCGTTTGATATTAATTTCAAGGGCAGTTCCATCAATTTGAAAAAAAATTCAGAATAGTTCCGTCCCTGATATGTAATCAGTCATTCAGAGTGGTTTTGACGAGAAGTGGTTCATTGTAGAGCAACTTACAGACCCATATTTCTTTAAAGTAGACGTGATAGGATCCAGGGGTCACCATGTCTACAGATATAGCCATTCTATTCACTATCCAAAACGACCAGTGACAATACATGTGTCTTCTGAGTTTGTATATGAAATGTTGATGATGGTGATGATGGAATTGTCATAAATCTGAAAAATTAGTTTTCTTGAGGGACTATTTTGCCTTACAGCATAGCCCTCCGCCAAGAATGGATTCAAATAAATAGATTAAAACACATTTTAAGCCAAACCTTTATCATAAAGCTATCATAAAACAGTGTCACACATCATGCAGCATCTAACCATTTCATATAATAACTTTATGTGCAGGAGCTTTTAGAGGCATTAAACACTTTAGACATCTGGTTCCTATTACTACTGTGAAAAATTCTGACAGTAAATTTCTCTAGATTGGAGCATTTCATATCAAACCACTCACCCATTTAATTATGTAGAATTTTTGAAAAATCTGAGAAATTCACCTTTAAAGCTGCTTTAATCTGACCATAATAATAATGATAATAATGAAAAAAGCAGCATGCCCTATGGACACTAGCCTTAAGCATATTTTAGCAGCTTGAATGCCAGACGAGTCTTCAAACTGAAGGGGCATCATCAAATTTACAGCTGCCAGGCCTAAAACCACTATGGATAATCAAGCAGAAATGACATCTGAAACACTGCAAAGACTTTCTGTGATAATATATTCAACAGACGGGAACTGTTAATACATATAAGCTAATTATGGATTCCTTTCGCAGGCTGTGCGAGCTAAAAGGTCAAAACCCAAATGCAGTAAGCTTTACTCCTTGATACGGAAGAGCAGACAATCATTTAAATGTTCAGTAGGCCAAAGTGTTGCAATGAGAGTGGTTGAAACTAATGTGAAATGCAGCAAAAGCAGAATGAAGAGAAGTTCTTCAGTGCAGCGTTACTGAGATGATGTCGACTGGTTTGTCAGCCAGTGAAAGTGGAGGTAGATTATTTCACAAAGCAGAGTTTCTCAGCAAAGCTGGACAAATTGGGCCCAAATTAGGGTCATCCAGTCGGAACTCCTATTAGGTCTCTCCTATTGGACAAGCTTGGCTTTTGGCTAAAGTTATCCGGTCAGCTGAGAAGTCATGCTCTGTGAAATGCTCTATAATAAGAGAGAGAATGTGACAATGTTGGAAAACGTGTTTCAGTGGATCCACCTTCATTAAACGGCGAGGGCAGAGTGTCTCTGTTAACCTTGTGGAAGGACGCGACTGTATTTATTGACGTATGCAAATGTTTTTAGGGGTGGTCTTATAGGGAGGAGAGAGAAAAAAAACAGGAACAAGAATCAGTTTCACATTGCAGATCTGGAGTTCCGGTGAGGGGGGAAAAGAGACGTGGCGAAAAAACTGGTGAATATCGGGGCTTGTCTGAAGTTTTTCCTCCTTTATTGGCGTTTTTGGAGATAAATGTGTGTTTCAGAAGAAACGGGGACGGTCTAAGAGGATACAGGCTGCGGTTTGTGCAATAACGGCGACACTTTGTGCTAAATGGGCGATTCCGGCTCGGCTCTGCTCAGCAGTAACAGCAGCAGCGGCAGCCCCAGCAATAATAACAACAATTTCTCTTTCTCGACGTTTCCTTCGTCCAAACGCGGTCACAGCCCGACGAATGTGGTGTACGATATCCTCAATAACAACTCGTCTCTCTTCTTCCCCCTTCCAGCTCGGCAAACCATGCAGGATGATTTACTGATGGACAAAAGCAAAGCCCAGGCTCACCAGCAGCAGCAAGACCCAGCGAGCATCGACCCACCCTCCACCCCGACCCCCTCGTCGGAGCCGGCGGTCTCGGAGGACAGCCCGTCCGGCCAAGCCCCTTCGAGGCCGAGCGGCAAGGAGAAGACCGCCATGGAGTCGCCGCTCCTGCCCGGCTTGAGCTTCCACCAGCCGCCGCCGCAGGAGACCGGGGGCACCTCGCTGTCTCCTTCGTTCGGCAGCACTTGGTCCTCGCCGACCACGAATGCCATGGACGATAGCTTTTTCCAAGGAATCCCCTCGGTGAACGGCACCATGCTTTTCCAGAACTTTCCGCACCACGTCAACCCGGTTTTCGGAGGCAGCTTTTCGCCTCAGATCGGGCTGGCGCAGTCTCAGCACCAACAGCAGCCCCAGCCGCCGCAGCAGCAGCAGCCCCAGCCCCAGTCCCAGCAGAGGAGGTCCCCCGTCAGCCCCAACCAAGCTGCTTTCCCCCAGAGGACCGCGTACGCTCACCAGGCCGTCGTGAACAGCAAGGTCTCCCCGGCCTCGTCCTCCTCCTCGTCCGCCTGGAATAACCACCAGAACGCGGTGTGGAGTTCAGGCTCGAGTCCGTGGAGCGGGCTGCAGGCGGCCAGGGACCCGCGCAGAGCAGTGGGGGTCGGGGTGGGAGTCGGGGTAGGGGTCGGAGTCGGGGTCGGGGTCCCTTCTCCCCTCAACCCAATCTCCCCGATGAAAAAGCCCTACCCCAGCAACGTCATTGCTCCGCCGAAATTTCCAAGAGCCGGTCCCCTTACCGCAAAGCCCTGGATGGAGGACAGCGCCTTTAGAACAGACAACAGCAACAACATGTTACCTTTTCAGGTCAGATAGTTTCACTTTAATATTACTATTAGTTTTAGTGTTGTTGAGTGTCCTGCACCACATTGTTTATATATTAATACAGTTATGCTGTGTATTTCATGTCACATTAAATGCTAATGCGGACTGTTTGCTTGTGACTGCTAGCGTTATCTTAATGTCAAGCATAAATCCTCAAACCAACCACTGCATACCATCTCCAGAGAAGATGGACGGTGTTAATGCGAGTTAAAATACACGCAAGACTGCATTTTCGGCTTTAGTCCATAGGCTTTTCATCTGCAGTAGGCTGCAGAATTTGTGATATTTCGTGTTTTTCGTAGGTTAAGTTTTTTATTTAGTTAACTACGAACACTAAAATGAGTATTTTAGCCAGTGTATCGCCTGTTCATCATAATTTTCGTCGTTGACGATGAGGTAATGACCCTTAATGTGGTAGTGACCTTCAGATCTGTCTGAGATGACTTTACAGCTAATATGATATCTTTAGCTTTATACCTGTATATAAGCTTCAGATATCTAAAGTCCAGTCAAAGCACTGTGGCCTCTTATGATTGCTGTCCAGGGTCATGTTTACGGAAACGGGCTGACTCAAAAACACTTCGATGTCCGGTCAATACGTGGACTTTTTAAACATAACTTTGAATGTAAATCACATAAACAGTATGTTTATATGTCGTGTCGTTTTTCGTGGACTCTTAGTACCTTTCTTTGTATGTGTAGCAGTTTGTTGGAGAGAAACAGCCTCTCCGGTGTTTGTGGTGCGAACGGTTAATTTCTGCTGCTCGTCGGTGTCAGCTCACTCAGGAGGCGTTTAAAGGGAACGCCACTCGAATCTGATTGGTCAACTGCGTTTAAAGGGAACGCCACACGAATATGATTGGGCGACAGCCTTTAAAGGGGCCAACGCTTAATCGCGATTGGCTTTCTGTGAGCAGGGCGGAGTTTACATGTGCCTCTTGTTTTTTTCTCATGCTGTCATGAAGAGAAACAGTGAAGGTTTAATGTGAAGGGTCGAGTGTGTCCTAATGCACTTATGCTTTCTGAGTTTATTTGATTATTATTGCTTGTTCATTAAAGTTTATGTATTCTAAAATGTCAAGAGCATGTATGAAAGTCACAAATCAGGAATTTGCACCCTGTAGTGCATGTACTGTAATTCTATAGTACCCCTGTCAAGTTATATCCACTGGTTATATGTGTGGCATATACTCCAGTAGATCTTTAGATTTTGAATATTTTGATTATTTTTTCTTTATTGATTATTATTCACAGAGACTGTTATTTTGTTGTGTAATTAATAGGCCATGTTGGCTGTTTTTTACCTTATGTAAGTGACTTGCTTTCAGATCGTTTATAGCTGGATAGGTCTCTGGTGAGTAGATGGGACCTATTTTAACTGCACTTTCACACCAGTGGAAAAGGTTACCACTGCAGCAGATAGAAAAGTGATGAGTCATGCAAGCTGTGATCCTCTGAGTGACAGGTTCTGACTCATGTCTTGCTTTTCTCACCCACTGTATTGTGTTGTGGGATTAGGTCGTTTTGAGCATAAGATGAACCAGGATTATTGGAGTTGCACCGTGAAGGGCAAGATAAGTTTGATGATATGAATCTATTTAAGGCACAAAAGACACCTGTTTGTGCATTCAGTACAATAACACTAGAGCTGCAAAAGGCACAGCAGATAGCAAAATGCTAGACTGAGGATCTCAAGATGATAGAATTTTCATCCAGAAGTAAATGCTTAGTTTAAATGAATTCATTTTTTTTGTTTTAAAAGCACCATAGAAATGTGAAAAATGTTTAAATATGAACCCACCACAGTTTCACTCTTCCTTGATCTCCTACTTAACACATAATTTTTTTCCCGTTTCTGAAGCCATTCTTTATCAGCATATGTAGCTGATCTCATTAGGTGTCATTGTATTAGATTAAACATATATATGAATATATATATATAGAGGTGGATATTATGACAATATTGTATTGTAATTGTGATGTTATATCACAATACACTTTTCTGAGCATATTGTGGATACTGTCTGTACTTAAAGAACACTGACTAACTACATGTTCCATTACGAAGTGCACCTAATTGGGCCTGAATTTATGTGAATTTAGTGAAGTGTGGTTTGTAAAACACTGACTAAAATCATTGTTGTTGCAAGATTATTATTATTATCGTTGTTATTGTTGTTATTGTTTAATATGTGGTACTACAGATGGTACTGCAGATTCTGTTCCAGCATATTAAGTCTCAGAAAAGCTAAATATGGTAATACACATTGTGTATCATGAAAATGTCATGTCTTGAAAAAAAAATAATTATAAATAAATATATATATTAGTAAATACAAATATAAAAATATAAAGTTAATTTTTGTTATAGTAACAGGAATGACCTTAACACATAGGCTAATAGGTTTTGGAAAAGTTGTGATAAGAAAAGTAAGAGGGTAATAGGGTAATAGGTAAAAGTAATAGAGAGGCTTAGGGCTCTGTCTCCATAATCAATATCTGTAACATTGACAAATCTCTCTCTCTCTCTCTCTCTCTCTCTCGCAGTCTCTCTATCTGTATTTCAACTTTTGCGCCTTGATGTCTCTTTTGCTCTGCTCCGCCTCCCAAAATGTTTCATAACCATCACTTCAGTTTGGACAGTATGGACTTCTCTGTTCTTCGTTTTGTAGCCATTCCTAGATTGTTATTAAAGAGCACAAGGATAAAGGGCCCACATTCTCAGTACAGAACACTCTGTTAAGGTGAAACAGGGCAAAGGAAAGGACAGCCAGAGAGCAGTTACAGTGCTCTTAGAGTCACCGACCAGCCCTTGTATCTCGGCCCACAGCCGACCAAGACCAGGCCTCTTTCACCTGCCGTTAGCCTAGCCTAGCTGTTGGCCTAGCGTGAAGGTGAAATGTGGTAAACTTGCATTCAGTAGAATGAGCCAGTGAATGGCAGGAAAGCCCCCGGTCATGAAGACATGTGCACGTGCAGTAGCTAGAACAAGCTGAAAAATCATGTTTTTGTGCATTGTTTGAGTCAAATGCCGCAAACTATTTATGCTGTTTTTGTCAGATTTTACCCGTGTTATCAAATATGCTTTGGTAGTTTTGGTTTTATAGGACTTTCCCCGTTTAGGTAGGAGCCTCATCTTATATGACTAGAATTAACTGCCCAGTGGCGTTGCCAAGATGACTATCAAGTGGACAGACTTTCTTATAAGGACTTTGATAGGAACCAGTTTACTTTTTACTCCGTTCCCTTCGTTTGTTTCCTTTTTTTGCTTTATTTTCGTTGTGACAGAACACACTGCTTACTGTTTCTCACACATCTCATGTTTAAAGGGAGTTCACTGCATTACTTTCAGAATTTTTTACAAAATTCTGCAGAATCAAATGGTTAAAATGTAAACAGTGTCATTCTGAGTGGTTTGCTGTGAAGTGCTCCATTCTAGAGAAGCTTACTGAGTCAGAATTGTTCACAGAGGTGGTGATAAGAACCAGACGTCTAAATTGTTTAAATGCATCTTAAAATTTCCCTCACTGGAAGTTACATTACATGAAGTGGTCATCTATACACTGATGCCTGAAACATCGTTTTATAATAGTTTTTAGTCTAAAACGTTTTATCCATTTATGGCAGAGAGGTACATGCAGGGTGTTGCAAAGTAAAATAGTCCTCAGAGAAGCCACTGTTTTAACATCATCCACGTTACATTTAAAGAAATTGTCAAGGAATTAGAGTCTGGAAGTTTCTCTAGTCATTTCACATTAAACCACTTTGAACGTCTTTGTTTAAATCTTAGTGATTAAATTATGCAGAAAGTTGGGGGGAAAAAATCAGAGGAATTACCCACGAAACTTTAGCATTTTATTTTAGACCAAAAAAGGAACCCAAAAAGAGAAGAATAGCGCTGAACAAACTTCATTTCCTATGCTGATAGATGCCTGATGTACTAAGAAATTCCACTGAAGTTCTGTAGAGAACTACAGGGAACAACACTTCTTACTTAAGTTCGGACAACTACTCCATTTATTATTCCATGGCTAGAGTGAAGAAACACTGGTTTAGACAGATTCGTCTTTGAATGCTTTGCATAGTGTCCAACGAATCTAAGTGAACGCGTGGGAATTAACGTTGTACAAGAATCACTCAGGACACCCAGTCACCCCCTCTCCTCCACTCATACTGGAATTTTGCATTCTGGTGCTTGTCTGATCTTCCGCAGTCAAACGAGGCAGGATGCCTATGTAAATGAACTGGAACTACCATTGGCCCCTTCTCTGGTTTGAGATGCAAATTCTCAAGGTGTTTGAATACTTTTTTTCAAAGTATATGTGAATTTCAGCTGCTCTTGATGTTCTTTTTTTCCTCTGATTGAATGTTTGTGTTCCTCACCAAGCTGCCAAATTCACATGGGTCATTTTACTATGCCTTAGGTGGAGTTTTACCTTTTGTATGAATGACTTCAACTTGGAATTCCCGTTTAGAAATCGGTTTAAAAAATATTCAAGGCCTCTCCAGCTGTCACAGGTCAAGAGAGGAAAAGGTGAGCACTTAAAAGTCATAATCAGAGGAGTTGGCTATGTTCAGCGTGTGTTTGTACGGCCAGAGAGAGCGTATGCGTGTGGGCGCGGGGCTGAAGTGGGAAGCTCAGCGTTTTGAGTGTTCATGATTAGTACAAAGTGGGCAGATTTTTATCTGGGCCCAGAGAGGGGAAATAACACTTTTTGAATGGCTCAGCCAGTTGCATGACAATAGCTCTGGTGGTGAACAAACAGTGTGCCTTTTCTGTGTTGCTGGGCAGAGAGAGGCCTCTGCCAAATCTCCCTCTTACTCACACATCTTCTCATAGTCAATAATGTTCGAAATGTTTGTACTCGTTTGCAAACCTATTGCCCTACAGTTTCTCATTTGTGGTTCCTCTGTACCCTTACTTAAGTTAACATCTGGGCACAGTTAATATCTGATCGACTGTATAAGGCCTGATTTGTTCTCTTTGGGCAAATTTGCCCAATGCACTGAAAGCACTTTTACGATATGCAATATATATTGCAGTATTTTTTTTCTCTGAAATTTGTACGCTAGTTGGCACCACAGTGCCACCATTTTAGTAGTTTAATTTTGGCAGACAGTGCAGAGAGACAGTCCAATGAGGTTTCAGAAGAAGTCTTAGAAGTCTTTCCTAAAGCAGGCTGAAATGGTAGCATTTCTGCCTGAGCAGGGAATTAAACCCTGTCCTCTTGTAGCACTTCAGCATTATCCATTATGCTATTTACCTGCTAGGGAAATGAGCTATAAGTCTCTTTAAGAGGTTCACTCATATGAAACTACATTTGTTTTTTTGCTAGATTAAACAACTTTTTACTGTTTAGCAAATTATAATCACTTATTACTGCTGACAGTATGTTGTTTTTTAAAATAACCACATTATAGAATATTAAGCTTACTTACAAAGATATTAGGGATTCTCCAAAGGAGATGGAGAACTACTACTACTGCATCAGAGGGGTGCCTAAGAGTGATGAAGATTGTGGCGGCCCAATAGCTCTTTTCCCAGGACAGGGCCAATTGTGCCTCACGTAAACGGATCTTGAACAATGACCGAATAAAACGTAATTATTACTCAGGGGTTTTATTGATTAAAAAAAAAATGAAACAAGTGCAGTTTGAAGGAGCGATTTGTAAGATTTAAATTTGAAAACATTCCAAAATGAACTAAAATGATCAACAGAATGTGAAGAAATAACAGTTTTGACGTTATGTCAAAGACGTCTGTGTATCATGTTGCAGAGATAGCTACTGAAGTTAGCATGCTAACCAGCTAGCCCTGGCCCGTCTTGTTTCATAATGCTGCTTTGTACTTCAAGAGGCGATAGTGAGTCACTGTAGCATCGAGTCTGTTGTCAGTCCAACATGAGAACATGAAGAAGTCGTGCACCAGCTCCCAGCAAGAAACCATGTTCAGCAGCAAAGAAAATTCTGTTCATTATTGTCGTTATACATATCACTGCCGTCGGAACTAAACCTTGTATCTTCTGTTTTGTTGTTTTTCTGTTTTTGGCATAATATAAATATACCTGTTGGCCTTTACATTGTGTGTACATTTCATGATGAATGGACCAAAAGAAAACACCCAAAATGACTAGGAAAAAATTCTGGTACCATTGACTTACATTAAAAGTAAAGTATGTTTTTTCCTTCTCCTGGAAAGTTATTATTTTGGAGATACAAGGTTTTGGTCCAACAGCAGTGATATACAGGAATACAGTATAATGAAACACGTTCAGGCTACTTCTCTGTTGCATAAACATTGAGACAAGGACTCAAGTGCATATATATATATATATATATATATATATATATATATATATATATATATATATATATATATATATATATATATATATATATATATATATATACTAGGAGGATGATAATATATCTACCGACAAAAAAAGGATGACAAATAACAATAAATAGATAATACAATAAATAAACAATAGACAATAAATACAAAATAAACTAGAGACACAGGACTGTACTGGTGCATAGTAGTGATATAGAAGCCAAACGAGTTAAAACTGGCATTGCTTTCCTCTGCTGGATCTTGGCAAATAAAGCGATGAAGTTTGATGCTTAACTCTCAATGTTTTCTTTAAACTGGTAAGTAAACAAGGGGAGGAGTGAAGAGGGAGGAGGAGGGACTTTGTGAAGTATGATTTCAACAGGTTGTGTCATCTTACATATTACTCCTTTATCAAGCTGAAATCCAATCAGCCACTTCTTGTTGTTAGCAGGTTCTCAACAATTAGTCTAAATCTGTTTTATGATATATGCAGTTGTTCAGTGTCTTAGAAGTATTGATGGTACACATGATAAACTTGTCGTATTGCCCACTCCTACACTACATTGCTTCTAAACACTGATGTAAACCAGACAAACTAGGCATTCCTTTAGCACAGGGCTGTCCAGTCTTATCCGCACAGGGCCGGTACGGCTGCAGGTTTTCATTCCAAACAAGCCAGAGCACACCTGATTCTACTTGTTTAATCAGTTGGTCTCCATCTTCAACAGCTGTTCATATTTGCTCCTGCTTTGTTGGAATGAAAACCCGCAGCCACACCGGCCCTTTGCATACAAGACTGGACAGTCCTGCTTTAGCACGATATTGATTAAATGGATGCATCACAGCCATCTAGATCGCATAGAATATAACACTGCACTGAATCTTTATTGTTTAAGTTACTGTATAGTTTGCTGTAAATTGTCAGCACTAAGACCTGTATTAACACTATATTTCTTGTTTCATGCTAGCAGGTACATTAGAAGTAATGCTGTGTGTGGGAGATCTGGTTGAGTGAAGTGTAGGTAACTTGTTAGAGCAGAGACATCGCTGTAATCGGTCCTGAGAGAATACCTCTCTTGATGTGTCTGACAAGCAGCTTATTCTTTTTGCCTCCTGTTTCTGTCCATTGCTTTCTCCTCTAAATTTTTGCAGCTTCTGGTTGTAATGTGAGTTATGCGGTCAAAAAAAAATTGTTATGTAAATGTTCCAGCCTTTGGCATTAGTAGCTACTGTTATGGCCCTTGGCAGTCGCTGCTCTGGTGGTTCTACTGGAGAACAACAGTGAGCTCTTTATCTTCATAGACAAGTTATGACCAGTCACCTCTGTCACATATTTCCTTGAAGTAGTGTTTGTTTTTGTGCGTTTGACTTTTAAATGTCACCAGCGTTGCTGGTTCTGACAGCTGAACGGTTGCTCTTGCTTCTATGTAGTTAGAAACTGAATTGCAGTGCTCTGATGTCATTTCCTCTTCATGTCCCTGCTTGTGAATGCAGATGGTTCTAGCAGATCTGGGCCCATGTTCATCAGACCTCTCAGAGTATGAGTGCTGATCTAGGATCTGTTCCTGTTAGTAAGGTCATCATAAATGAAACAGAAATCTGATCCTAGATCTTCGAAAACTTTGGTGAATACAGTCTCATGTGCTCCAAGCATCTTGCCCTGCCCTTGATTTTGTTTGTCTTCTTATATGACTGGTTCTCATTAAGCAAAAGAGGGCCAAAAGGAAGGTTGGACTGGACAAATGAAATCATCTCAAGAGCATTAGAAAGTGAAGAGGGTGGTGTTGTATTATTTACTCTCTGAAGTCTAACCCTTTTCCTTTGTTTTTCTGTCTTTCAGGACCGGAATCGGCCCTTTGATCCATTTAGCTTGCAAACTTTGGAGAATTCCTTAATGGATATGATAAGGACTGATCATGACAAAGGTAAACAACACCCTGTCGGGGGGCCACCAATGACTATCGCTGATATTGTATGGAGGAATCATTTTGCAGGTTAGGAATATTCATACATCCATGCTTATTTGGTTTTTTGGCTTCATTCAAATCATCTCTGATTGACGTTTTTCTTTCTTTTTCGTTTCGTTTCTACATTGCCTTTTTTACCAACATGGTATGACTTTCTCTTCTACAAATCATTGTGAATGACCACTGCCTTACCTGCAAAATCTGTCATAGATATCTATGTTTCATGTGTGTGTATGTATGTGTCCATCTGTCACAAGTGGCTTTCTGAGGCTCTCAGTCAGTCAATAACTTTGAACCAGTTTTCATGATTCCTTTTGTTTTGCTTCTGTCTCTGCAAAGAACAAAATCATCTTTGTTTGGGTGTGGTGGATGGGTGTGAGCTGATTGGTGTTCTTCTGACTGTAGGGTGATGCATGCAGACTAAAAATCCAGTCTGCCTGCATCTGTTCAAATATCAAGCTGGTCTGTTAGGACTAAGGTGTATAGTTCATTATTGGTTATCGCAGTATTGGCCTTTGTTAAGGCAGTGATATGCAAATGAGCCTCTGAGCTGTTATAAAGTTTTTTAACTGTGTTTTGAAAACATCTTGACCAATCACAGTTCCAGAGGAGTGTTTCTGTGGATGCTTTGATGAGTAAAGGTATTCATGTAATTCATTCAAAGCCAATTATTTTGGTCAAATGAATACAGTCCATTCTTTAAATATGTTACATTGTTAATACAATAATGCTTTTTTGTTATGTTGCAAAGCGTATTGCATTGCTGTAATTCTTTTTGGGGTGGACAGTATGACAATGTTTATTGTTATTGTGATAAATGAAGGCGCATTATGTTGCAATATACTTTCCTTAGCATATTGTTGATACTGTCTTATAGGGAAATTCCACCGATTTTTCAACATTTCTGCTTAATTAAATCATTAAGATGTAAACATGGTCAGAGTGGACTGTGAAATGCTCTGTTATAGAGAAAATTAGTCAGAATTATTCACAGTGGTGGTGATAGGAACCAGAGGTCAGACACTTTAATGCCTCACAGCTACCTCAAAGTTAGTTGTTACATAAATTGCTTATGAAAACACCAATACATTATTTTACAAAAGTTTTGAGAATGTATGGTTTATGTCTGAGGTCACATGCAAGGCGTTATAAGGCAACGTGGTCCCCAAATTTACCACTATTTGAACGTTATCAACGTTACATATTAAAAACTCTTTAAAATTTAAAAATACATTGGTCAGTTTGGACTGTAAATAAAATGGCTATATTTGCATTGTGGACCCCAGGTCCTATCACCACCATTTAAAAGAAAATCTGACTATCTCATTTTTTGTACAGTGAACCATATCACATTAAATCACTCTGCTTGACTTTGTTTACAACTCAGCGACTGAATTATGCAAAAAAAAAAATGGATGGACCAACTGCATGTTTTGTTACGAAGACAGCATGATTAAATAATAAGTGCTTGTTTTAGCTTATCAAACCTCAGAAAAACGAAATACTATGATGCATATCATGTATTGTGAAGATACCAAGTATCGTTGTTGTACCATACCATATGGTAATTTTGCCATATTGCATACCCACGCGTTGTATCCATATTGTGCATCCCTGTTATCCATCAGTCATCCTGAGATCTTCTCTCTGGGCCTCATAATCATTACATTTGCGTTCCTTTCCTGACCGAGATGGAGGGAAACATAGCACAGCTTGTAAGGGCAAAATTTGTAAGCAACATTTTGTCCCTAATACAGGGTGAATGTACACTCCTAGCAGTTTGAAGCATCCTAGAATAGCCCTGGGGAATGATTTGAATGTAAGCTGAGTGCGCTGCAGTCGTGAATGAGTAGACAGAGAGAAGAGAGTCATTTTGGTCTGGTTTTAATGCAAATAAAAAGCAAAACCAGACATCAACTGTTGAGCACGAAGCAAACATCTTGAGCAGGCGGCTTTCACACACTTGAAAGAGTGCTTTGAAACAACATGGCCATTCATAGACCTCACGACATCCTCAGTGAGCTCTCTTTGCTCACTGAGAGCTTCTGAAGTAGTGGAGTTCTAGCCAAATGTTTGTCAGGAAAATGTTTGTTTTCGCTGGCCTCAGCTGTTGTCAAAAGTCCTCTCTGAAGACCTTTTTAAGTTTACAGTGGTGGATCAGGTCACTGTTGTCGTTGTTGTTGTCGTTGTCATTGTTTTTGTCCTTCCAGACTGATATCATGTGTTTAGAGAGTATATAATGCAGTACCAGCTTAAGTTCAAGGATTACTGTTATATGCACAAACTGAAAATCTTTACCCTAAAGGTGGTTTAAACACTTGAAAGTATAGATGGTGCAATATGACTTTTTCTTTTCCGTTACAATACTGATACTGAAACAGTGCATATTGGCTGATACTGATATGATCAAACTTTAGAAACTAGAAACCTGAACTAATTTTGACTGAAGCACTTCGCTGAAGATGAGCATCTATAGTAGACTATTGTGCTTAAACTGCTCAAACTACTCAAACACTCTGCTAGCCCACAGGAAGAAATACACAGCTAACAACATCACATAACACAATGTGAGTGTGTGCTGTTTCAGGACAGATTTGTTACAGTATTGGATCCAGTTCATTCTTAATTCCATCTGATATTTGATCCAGCATTTTCTGCTGATTTGGGCCTAATACCAATACCTAGGCCTGTCACAATCATGATTTTTTTTCACTTCATTTTATAACCTTATTTATAAAGCAATTTTCTTACTGGTGACAGGGGGTGATAAAGTTTAATACTAAGTAAATAAAATACTTTAACTCCCAACTGATGAGACACAGCTCACATTACCCATTGCTGAACTGTAAAGATGTCATGATGCCATAGCAACACTCTCAACTAAAATTTTTGTTGTTGTAAGACCCATGACACCTCTCAATAAATGTTTTTTCTGCTTTCTTTTATTTACAGGCATTTGCTTCCGCCCAACACATGAAATTGCACACAATTCACATTCACATTAACACGGCTATAAAAAATAATTAGTCAGCTTAAATAGTTGCAGTCTGGACAAATAATTGCAATTAGGTGATTAATTGTGTCGGATCAGTGCCAACTCTGCCTGAAAGGCTTGAGTGCTGACATCACGGCAAGGCGATAAAATGTGTTTGGCGTTATTCTCAAGGTAGTGCTGTAACAATTATTGTCAAGTGTTTGAAGGGTTTTGTACCAAAACGCATTACAGACCAAAATTGTTACAAATGGATACACAGTATCTTGGATTGAGACTCATACACATTTGTTAGTTTCCCTCAGAATTAACCCTACATGTATGCACATTTGTATTAAAACATGAAAAGCAAGGTGTCCCTAAACTTTTGATTAGGCTGTATAAGCATGTGTTGTGCCTATGTTGTGCTATGGGCTCGGTCTGTTACTCTATCATGTGTGGAGGTGTTTTTCCAGTCCTCACATTGTTTTTGTGGTGAAGTTGCTCTCAGTTTCTGAAGAACTCTTTTGGTGTTCTGAAGAAACCTCAGGTGAGTTGGGAGAAGCGGGAGGGGCGTGGGGCTCTCCAGTAAATAATGAGAGGCCTGTCATGGCTCTTTGGAATGGGGTTAGGGCTGCTGTACAGTGGTAGTACATAGAAAAGGGCTGGGATACCTAGAAGAACTAGACGGTAAACTAAGAAATCCTACCTTATTTTCCATGGCAATGTAGGTGTCAGACTTCTACTAGTTTAATTCTGAACTTTTCCACTAGTTCAAGTCAGAACAAGCTGTACTGAAACCACTCATTTCTTGTCCACTGTCAGTTGATTTGGAATTGTGCCAGTGACATGTGAACCGTGACCGCATCTACTAATATTTTGTACAGAATGAAACTTTTACCTGTAGAGATGCCAGCAATCTGATACGAGTTATTTCTAGTTGAGTAGTTTGAGTGTGATGGTCTACTTTAGTGAAGTGGCCTGATCTTTAGTGAGATGATAGCCTCATCTTTAGTGAAGCACTTCAATTAAAAATACTTATTTAAAAAAATATTTTTTAAAGAGGCAAGATTTAATTTAATGTAATGCTGTTGGCCGATGCTCAGGTATTGGTATCAGCATTGAGAGAGAAAAAATGGTTTTGTGTTCTTAGTTGTTGCGAAACGGGGCTCGCGCTATGTTGCGCACGTCCCGTCTCAAAGACATTTTACTGACACAGCGATCCCCCCGTCTCTACAACGAGACCAAAACCGAAGTTATAAAATCACTAAAGAAAACGGGTAGAATAGCTGTAACGTGCTGCGTGGACATCCATTACCACAGGATCTTATTTCACCTTAACTGCACATTTTATCGCAGATGAGTAGCAGCAGCTTCTCGTGCTCCAAACAAGAGCACTGAATGAGAGCCTTCTAGTTCACTTACCACATCACTTCCTTTTGATTTATTAATAAAAGATATTGGAAGTAAATTCATTATGGATCATTACAAATACTTTGCTTTAAAACTACCATGTCACTTTAAATAACAATAACACCGAGTTACTTAGTCACTTTAAAATGTATATTGTCTCTATATTCTGTGTATATTTTGTGTATATTTAATATATTTCAGTTGGTTTTTTCTTGTATTTTTATTTTTACTTATTTGCTTTCTGTAGAGTGATTAGCTGAGCCTCACCACAAGCATTTCCATGCATAAATGTCCTGACATGTTGTGCAAGTGACAAATAAACTTGAAACTTGAACTCGAAACTTGAGCTCACACAGTGAGAAAATATAAATGCTATGTAGAAAAAAAAGATGCATCGAGATGCATTGATAATCGTTTTATAATCACATCGCAGCCCTCTGAATCGTAATCGAATCGTGAGGTGCCTAGAGAGTCCCACCCCTAGTGTTATCTCAAGTTCCCTCTCTTGTTGCTTTCATTTGCAAAAATAAAAAAAGTAATTAAGAGAATTTCTTGAATGTCAGCTTTGCTAAATACTAGCTAGACAGCTGGGGAACTTTGTAGTGTTACCATTACTTTCAGTCACTTTGAAACGAATAAGAAA